AAAACATAAAGAAAACTATAGTGGGCATTTATCTAAGACTAGCAGATGCCAATCCTAAATTTTTTATTAGCTTAAAAATAGATCCCCTGGTTCCATCCCAGTCCTGATGAATTAGAACATCTGCAGTTGGGTTTGGAAATCTGCATTCCTAATGATCTTCCCAATGAATCTGCTGCAGCCACACTCCAGATCGGCATTTGATCCAGCCCAAAATGTGGGTTCCTCTTTGTGAAATATTTTTATATATACTCATTTATATGTTTTTGCAACCATAAAGACTTTGTGTCCAATACATATGCTATGGGGGATGACACCTAAATATGATTTGAAGAAATGATGACGCGGGAAAAGCTTGAACTAGAAAAGGGAAGTAGAGAAGTAGAGAACATGGAAAAACCAAAGGTAGTTATTTTCAAGTAAGTTCATGCAAAATGCAAGACTGTGCTCCAGAAGACCGTGTTTCACTGTTATCAACTGCTGTCAGGTTATCTCTGCTGCTGTCTGCACAGGGCCATTATTCAGCCCCCGGGGTTACATTACCTCAGTGCCAGACACATACTTTACTGAAGTTCTGGGAATCTCAACAGAATCCCAGGGGAGAGAGAACCAATAGTCAGGCTCTCGTCAGCATCCATCACTGATCTCATCCCCTAGCCCTCAGGTGCCAGTCACATACCATCCATGGAGCTGCCTGAGCTACCCCTGCAGCTGAGAAGGCACTTCTGAGAGGGAAACAATGTTGTGTTTGAATTCACTCTAAGACATTTCTCATCTCAAAGTCCAAGGGACTAGCATGAAGGAATTGTCCAAAGATTTTTTCTGTGATCTTGGGACTATGAAAACCAAGAGGCTGAAATCCACAACTCCAAAACCACAAAATTAGAAAAATCTTAGATGTTTAGGGAAGCACATTAGGAAAAGACACACAAAACTATTATTAGGTGCATTACATTTGTACTAGGATTCCTTGACATGATTCTGGGTATGGATCACAGATGGACTGGATTACACCATCCCTTTCTCAACACAGATATTTTCACTTGAGGTGGATGTGGGTATTACATGGCCACCATGACCTATATTTACCTTTAAAGCATGCGTGCTGTCCGGTAGAGTTGGATAATGCCCATCCCTGCACATGGGTGTTGACAAACAACAATCTGAACCAAAACCTGTTACAAGGACCTATGGTGTGTGAGATGAGGGTAGTACCATCATTGGTGAGAGAAGTCTATCCTTGCTATGGATGTTTCACAGAGAACAATCTCACATACTGTTCATTCAACTTTCACAGGTTATCTATGTGTGCTCCCTAAAGCCTTAATATTCCCATAGACCAATAGCATCAGTATTTCTTGGAAACTTATTAGAAATGAAGTATCTGGGCTCACCTCAGATCTACTAAATCAGAACCCCAGTCTGAACACTACCGTTTAGGAAGGATTGCCTTAAGGTACACCCACACGAGCTGAGCAGCAGAGCTGAACTGGGATCCAGGGAGCAAACTCATTTTACCTGCTGCAGAGGCTCTTGACTTGGTAGCAAAGGAATAGATTCTTCTTCCTAACCACTTCTTTCCACTCTCCAAAGTAAAACAAACAAGAAGTGTCATTAGTTAGACTGGGGTGGCCATGAATGAGGCCATATTACAAAGAAGATTATTAGAGCCTTTGAAAGGGAGCAAAAAGATCTGCATGAGCAAGGTGGCTACTGCAACCAGAGCCCTGGCTAAGATAAGGATGTTCCCTGGATCCCAGTCCAGCCCTGCAGCTCGGCTCCTGTGGTTCTACCTTAAGACAATCCTTCTTAAACGGCAGTGTTCGGACTGGGGTTCTAATTTAGTAGATCTGAGGTGGGCCCAGATACTGCATTTCTAATAAGTTTACAGGAAATACTGATACTATTGGTCTATGGAAATATTAAGACTTTAGGGAGCACACATGGGTAACCTGAGAAAGTTGAGTGAACAGTATTTGGAACTGTTTTTTCTCTGTGAAACATTCATAGCAAGGATCAACCCCTCTCATCATTGATGGCACTACTCTACTCTCACGCATCTTTTGTCACGGCTAGGTTTTGGTTTCACTAACAGCAATGAAGACCCTTTGTTTCATTAGTAGCTCTGCAATGGAATATGAAGCAGGCTTAGGGAGAAGACAGAAAAGCAGAAAGAACTAGAAAAGCAGCAGCAGGTAGCAACTTGGGCCACCTTGCTAGAAAATTAACAATCTTTAGGGACCGTAAGAAATGTCTGAAGCGGAAAATTACTAAAAGTGACTGAAAATATCTTGTAAAGTAGATGGGGCTTAAGAACGTGATAATTTGAGAATACTAATACAAAGAGGTTGATGAATACTAGACGTAATATTAGACATACCAATTAAATCGGCAACAAAGCATCTAATTGAATCTGTGAGGCAGAAAGCTCTTGAAAAGTTTCTAGGAAACATAGAATAATTATTTGAAGCTAATTTTATTAATATGAAAAATGCCATTGATAGTCTATTTAATAGCTACCACTGTTGTTTTATATTGGTGAACATTAAAAAAATTATCCGAGGTTTCCAGGGCCATTCTTAATCCGCATGTCCAATTTTATTTTTCAGTTGAAATCTTAACATCAGCCAATAATTCTTTCAACAATTTGTGGTTGAGGTACTGCTATCTGAGGAACTCAGTAAAAAATACTAGACTCCAGAAGAGGAGATAACTCTAACTTGTAGCCCAGCTTAGTCTGATAAGCAAAGCTTTTTTGTTTAGCTTCTATATTTTTATAAAAATTCCTAAATCAGGTCGGGCTCGGTGGCTCAGCCTGTAATCCCAGAACTTTGGGAGGCCAAGGCAAGTGGATTGGCTGAGTCCATGGGTTCAAGGCCCACCTGGGCAACTTGGCGAGACCTCATTTCTACAGTAAATCAAAAATTAGCCTGTGGTAGCGTGTGCCTGTAGTTCCAGCTTCTTGGAAGACTGAGGCAGAAGGATCGCCAGAGCCCAGCAGGTCGAGAACATGCCACTGCACTCCAGTCTGGGCAACAGAGTGAGACTCTAACTTAAAAAAAAAAAAATTTCTAAGCTGGAAGGCCTTTAGTTAGGCCATGCACTGCTGAATTGCCCATAGTCCCCAGCTCAAGGAGCAACTTAGTGCATTTATGTGCCTGGGTTCTGATGAAGATAAGTTCATCTCTTTGAATAGCCCTTCAGTACTTGAAAAATAATTTCATATTTGTATTTAGATGTCAAGCTAACTCTCTTGAGTCCTTGACCAAGAAGAGTTTAAGGTTTATCTAAAAATATAGAACATATACAAAAATAACTTTAAGACAAAGTGAAATATAACTGCCATAAAAGAGGGAAAAATCAACCGGGTGAGACAGCTCACACCTGTAATTCCAGCACTTGGGAGGCAAAGGTGAGAGGATTGCCTGAGCCCAGGGGTTTAAGACTATCCTGGGCAACTTGGTGAGACCTCATCTGTACAATAAATCTAAAAAATTACCCAGGTGTGGTGGCACACGTCTGCAGTTCCAGCTACTTGGAAGGCTGAGGCAGAAGGATCACCTGAGCCCAGCAAGTCGAGGCTGCAATGGCCATGAGCATGCCAAAGCACTCCAACCTGGGAGACAGAGTGAGACTCTCACTCAAAAAAAATAAAAAATTCATCAGGAAAAAAGAGGACACATTTTGTTGGCACAAAATATCATTCTGGGTAGCTCTTGCGGGCTCCAAGCTCCCCACCTTCTTTCTGAGAGCAACATAGTTCTTAAACCCTAACACCAGTGCCTGTTTCCTGATTATTCTGGTCCTAATTCCTACCCCCTTTCCAAGGTTGACAGCCTCCTGATTATTGGTCTGTCTTTGACCCTGGTCATGAAGAAGCGTTACACAACCCTTACCCTGTCAAGCACCCTCCCTGCTCACACTCAATGTCACTTTTCTTACTATCATTACCCACTGCTGGGTTGCCTATGTCCCCCCTTCCCTAAGTCATACTGGGCCATGTCCTAGTACCACAGGGTCCACAACTGAGACCTTTCACCATCTTATGGAGTCAGAGCACAGATTTTTAACTTATCACTCCTTATCACTCTCAATTTTGTCTTGGGTTTCTCTAGACAATCAAAGCTGTGGGGGTTTCCCTATTTCTCATATAATTCCTTTATCTCTCGGTCTTCTAATTTTAAAACAAGTCCCCCCAAATCCAAAATTTATTGAACTACGTCCTATTTCATCCTACACACCCAATAATTCGCCAAATTCTCGTGCTTTTTCCTCTCTATTCCTTTAGCCCTTGGATATCAGAACCTTGGCACCCAAACTATTCCCACAACAACCTTACCCCTACCACAGTGGCTCTGGCCCTTAATGGATGCCAATTCACCCCCAGCATTTTCATCAAATCATACTTTGCCAAAAATATTAAGTGTCTCCATATTTCCCCATTTATCAGAATTAGATTCTTTTGATTGACTTTCAAAGACCCTTCTATCCTGACCCCATTCTGTTCATCCCTGTTTCTTCTCCCAGTTCTCTGCACTGACTAGTTCTGCAAGTACAGCTGGTGGTGGCTATGGTCTTCTCTGAGCTGATATGATTCGTCGCCTTTCAAATTCAGCTCATCACTGTTCTGTAAGAGCCTTTTCCTGACTTCTCATCAGTCAGAAAAAAAAAAATTGATTTTTTATCCTCTTAACTTCTGTATATAACCTACATAACATTGTTTTATACATCACTATTTGTTCAATTCTATTTTTTGTTCATTCACATTTGTTTATAGTTCAATAGTTTGTTTGCCCGAACTAACCTAGACAAGGGTCATGATTTTTAATGTTTTATTTTGTTTAGTTTTATTATCATTTTAAGCACCTTACATGACCATGAGCAATGCCACGGGCGCTTTATAAGTAGCTATTGAGGGTCTCAATAGTGAATGACTGGAATAGGTTTAAATAGTCCTATGAAAGGTACAGGAGAAAACAGAGCCATGCTCAATGAAAACTTACCAGAGAAGACGCTAGGTATCTTGGAAAGAAAACTTTTCACTGTGCGAATAGGAATTCCATTTTTTTCATCTTGCATGCGTGCTATGACGTCTTCCATCTAAACAACAATAAAATAAGGATGCCCTTTACAAAGCAGAACTTTTTGAGAAAAAACAGCTTGCACAACAATTTTGTATTCCAGTGTTGCTTAACACTTAATAGCATTATTAAGAATAATGCTATATTCTTGCCCTTCTAGACTTTCCCCCTTTCATAGTTTAAGTTGGGTTAACAGGAGATGAAGGAAACTGCAAGAAAAATGGCCCATTTTAGGGTTCATTAAACTACTAATAGGAATTTGGGGCTTTGAATACTCTTTCACTTTCATGTACTTTGGTTATTAAGATTACGATAAAAGAGTGTTTATTTCTGAAGTTGTTAACAACCATGGTCATAGCAAATTCACACTTCATTAATGTTATCTCTACTGAACTCAGTCCAAAAGAAAGTAGAGTTTTAAAAGGATATGCTTGGATTTCCTCTTCCAAGAGAGTTTCAGTGATTTAGCTTAACAACAACGTCCTAAAACTTTCCTGGAAATCCAGGACTGGCTACCAGCAGCTGTTGCTTCTCTTGTCCAGGCACTTACTGAAGTGTGTTACGAAACACACATACACACACACATACATGCACACATACACACACACATACATGCACACATAGATTTATAATAAAATGAATGTAGCACCTAGCCTTCTTCCTGTTTAGCAGATTTCACTGTATATTTCCATCAGTCTTGTTAGCACACTCTCTTTTGTTTTTGCAAATTGTTCACAGTTCCAAAGGACTGTGCTTCACAAAGTCCTGTGGAATTTAGTTCTGAAGAATATTCAAATAATAGTCTCAGACTTTTCTCATGTGTTTCTAAGCCTATGATACACATATACACACAAATACACACCAGCTGTAGTGTGGCACTCAAAATTCATTAATCAATTTACTCATTCTAAAGTCGCTGATCAATGACTCTGGGCACCATGGATATGAAAATGAATATAATATAGTCTCTACTCTCAACAATTTAACAATCTATAGTGACAACCAAGGTGAAATTTGAGTGAAGTTTGTAGTTTAGTTAAGAATACTGTAACAATGTCAATTTCATGTTTTGATAATTATGCCATGGTTATGTAAAATGTTAACATTAAGGAAAGCTGAATAGAGGGTGCATAGAAATTCTCTGTTATTTCTGCATCCTTTCTGTAAGCCTAAAATAATTTCAAAGCAAAAAGTTAAAAATCACATTGATATAAAACTTTATATCTATGAATTGTCAAATTCCCATCAACATAGCTTCAGAAAGGTTTTCAACCAAGAAATCGAATTTGCTTAGATTAGTGTCATCAGATTTATTAAAATGACAAATAACTGGGGATGCTGGAAGAATGAATTTTCAAGTAAGACAGGTCTGTACTTGACTTTCAGCTCTTCTAATTATTATCCATGTTCTTTGAACAAGTTAAGTAACCTGTCTACGACTCCTGATCTATAAAATGATGACAATAGGCCAGGCTCAGTGGCTCAGTCTGTAAACCCAGCACTTTGGGAGGCCGAGGCAAGAGGATTGCCTGAGCCTGGGGGTTTGAGACCCACCCGGGCAACTTGGCAAGACCTCGTCTCTACAATAAATCAAAAATTAGCCGGGCATAGTAGTGCGTGCCTCTAATTCTGGCTACTTGGAAGGCTGAGGTGAAAGGAATACAGGAGACCAGCAGGTCGAGGTTTCAGTGGCTGGGAGTGTTCCACTGCCCTCCAGCCTGGGTGACAGAGTGAGATTCCAACTCAAAAAAATACATAAAATAAAATAAAATAATGACAATAATACTAACAACTCCCTCATAGTGTCTTTCATGGGTTTGGGTTAAGGCTAGGATAAGGGTAGGAATTTTAAGGTTAAATGACACAACATATATAAACCCTGGTGCATAACTAGGACAATAAATATTGGATATGAAATGTCCATGCACAGCCCTGACACTTGCAGATGCTCTTTGTTCATCTTCACGCTTCTTTTCATCACCCTAATGCCACTGCCTCTTTTGACACCCTAACTTACTCCAGGAGAGCAGGGCTGACTTATCAGATAGAAGAGCTGGGAATGAGAAGTTGATCTGCAGGGTTCATTCCTTTTCTTTTGGCTGGAAGACCATGTCCAACTCTGTGGAAATAAAGAGATCTGCCCTAGTGGATGAAGAAGTCCGCTCAGGATTAGGTTTCAGGTTTAAAGTTTACTTGTACACACTCTTCAATAATACCTTTATCAACAATCAAGGGGATTTTGTGACTCCTGTGTGGCTTTCTCTTTGGTTGTGGTTGTCAGTTGGTTCTGAATTCTAGTATGAAAAGAAGGTTTTTGAAAATCAAGCTTCCAAAAGACACCAACAATAACCAAATACCCCAGTTCCTCTCATGTGATAAAGATATATCATCAAGTATAGAAACACAAAAATAGATATATTCTCATGACTTTATGTCATTACTATTTGCTCATGACTGACCTGACACAGTGTCCAGAAATGCAGAATAAGCTGCTTTGTCTTGCCTTCTCTTAGCCTCTAAGCCCTTGTATTATCTGCTTAATGGTTTAAACCAGGCCAGATTAGATGGACATAGAAACCTCTCTGACTCCTACTTTAATCATCTCAGCACCTAGAGAAGTGGCAATAGTCACCTCTGGTTAGGGGCTGAATTAAGGTACACAGCTATGAATAGGCATTTTGTTTGTTCAGTCACATCCCCTCGCAGTTAATTGACTCCAAAAGAGTGAGACTAGAAGGCTAGAAATTAAAAGCGATTTCTGTGGTTGTATTTCAAAAATCTTCATTTTTTCTTTGTCATGATTTCCACAATAGAAAAAAAAAACTAAATACCAAATAAAAATAGAGTATGTGTTCAAGACTGAAAATGTGATCACAGAAATGTATTCAGCTGTTTTTATCTTTATTCAGGCATAATTTATCCATGAACCTACCCATGGCCTAGAATAAGATTAAAAACAAACAAACAAGTAAGACAAAACAGTAACGACAAAAACAAATAAAAAACAAAGACAAAAAAACAACCTGGCTCCTATAAATTACAGTCAATCACAAAGGCCACATACCAAAACACATTCATCTTACCTACCGAAGTTTCCTCAAGCATTCACTCAGAGGATATTAACTTTTATATTAAGCATGGCTTTAACATGCTTGATTATCTGCTTTTCCTCTACAAGTAACAGCAATTGGATAAGAAGGAGAATGCTAAAAGCAGGTAAAATAATAGAACAAGCTAAATAGCAAGACGTATAAGAGACTATAGAAAGTAACTCCAATTAATATGACAACTCTTTGGGATAATTTAATTTAAGGCCCAAGACTAAGGTATCTCAAGTATCCTATATATCTGTGTGTGTGTGTAGGTGTGTGTGCAAGTCTCCTCACTAAGTTAAAGAGCCAATTTCCCGTCAGAGACAAATAGATGAGGTTATTTTTTTTTCCTGAGTTGGAGTCTCACTCTGTTGCCCAGGCTAGAGAGCAGTGGCACATTCACAGTCACCCCAACATTGACCTGCTGGGCTCCGGCGAGCCTTCCGCCTCAGCCTTCCAAGTAGCTGGAACTACAGGCACATGCTACCACGCCTGGCTAATTTTTGATTTATCGTAGAGACGAGGTCTCGCCAAGTTGCCCTGGCTAGTCTCAAACCCACAGGCTCAGGCAATCCACTCGCCATGGCCTCCCATAGTGCTAGGATCACAGGCTGAGCCACTGAGCTGAGCCAGATGAGGTTACCAAATTGAGCAGGGCCTTTTACAAATAAATGCATTTGCTTCCAACTGTCAGCACATTTTAATTTCAATGCAAGTCATACAGTGATTAAAAGTATGCATTTAGGCTAGTCAGGCCTGAGTCTAAATCCTGGCTGTGCTGCTTACAAGCTATATGACCTGGTATGTTAGTTTACCACCCTATGACTCAGTTTTCTCATCTGTAAGATGGAGATGACAATAATAGTGTATGTCTTATCAGGGACGAGGGTTGATAAAACAATACCTATTAAATGTTTACCATTATGCTACCATCTTCTTCTTCAGCATCATCATCATCAACATAATCTTCCCCCATGGCCAGGCTCGGTGGCTCAGCCTGTAATCCCAGCGCTTTGGGAGGCCGAGGTGAGGGGATTGCCTGAGCCCGCGGGTTTGAGACCTGCCTGGGCAACTTGCCGAGACCTCATCTCTACAATAAATCAAAAATGAGCCGGGCGTGGTAGCACGTGCCTGTAGTTCCAGCTACTTGGAAGGCTAAGGTGGAGGGATCCAGCAGGTCGAGGCTGCGGTGGCCGGGAGTGGCAATTGCACCCCAGTTTGGGTGACAGACTGAGACTCCAACTCAAAAAAAAAAAAAATCTTCCTCTCTCATCACTGCACTAGGAAGCCACAGGTCCTTTTCCTTTATCAATTCAGCAGCCAAAGACAGCTGGAGTCAAGGGTCAAATATTTATCAGAAGCAATAAATTGTCAAGCTCTAAGTAGCCAGAAGTGCTTACACATAAACTCTGCCTTAGATTTCTTGTAGAGGATTGGTTTTGCATTGGCTCCTGAGGGATGGGGGAGTTGATCAGAGGAAATGTCAGGGAAAATATTTGTGCACATAAGCAACAACTATATAAACTATGAAAAATATCATATTTAGACAAAAGAGGAAAATGAGATTGCATCCATTTTTGACAAAATGACAAGTCTTTGCTATCATATTCTCTGGATGAATTTTCCTATTAAGGCTTTTATTAGAAGAAAAAGTTGAGTTGCAAAACTTAATCTTTTTTCTATGCAAATTAATTTGCTATACGTGAAAAAAGTAAAGCAATTGTCTTTTGCAAGTAGCTGTGAGAATATCTGTGAATCAACTCATTCAAAACTTTTGTATACCTATATTACATACCCCTTCACATTTAGTTACTAGTATAACTATCTGTTTTCCCTCAGATGTAAACATCTTGAGGAAAACTTTTTTTTTTTTTTTTTTTTGAGTTGGAGTCTCACTCTGTCGCCCAGACTGGAGGGCAGTGGCACG